CGAGGTTGATTAGTGCTTTATAGAGATTGGTTATGATTATGAACCACGTACTTAAAAATTATATAAGATATGGAACAAAACTATGTCTAAACCAATAGTTATAAGATAAAGATGGTGAGTTAGATGGAGAAAAGATGTTTAAGGTTACCCCATAATGCCTTTAAAACATAATTACGTACAGTAAAAGTTATGAAAATCAATGGATTCATTAGAAATGAAAGAAGATGAATAAAATAAAACAGGAAAATGGAAATATGTATATTCCGGCCGTCTGTGCTGTGGCCTATGGGTGAGGGTGGGGTAGTGGGGTTGGGCGTCGGGAAAGTCTCGGGTCGAGAAGGTTTTGAAGGTTTTATCGCTCTCACATGGACTCCCGTGGTTTACGCTGGGAAGCAGCTTTAAGGTCTCTCCCTCTCTCACCCACGCACTCTGTCTCTTCCTGTTGGTTAGTGCTTTGGCACTTTCTGTTGACAAATAGTCTGTTGTGGGTCTTTGAGCTTCATAATGTATCTTACACGTGTGACCTGCCTGCTTTGCTTTATATCTGTAAGCTGGGATTCGGCTTTAGGGTGTCCCACACCAGATTCCCACGTTCGGATCTATTTCTTTTAATGAAATCAAGAAAATAGCTTTCTTTTTCCATTTTTTTCCCCGTGTGGCCCCTTTACGACCAAATCCGTGTGTTTGGTCTCGTCGTTTTGACCACTGGAGTTCCGTCCAAGGATACGGTGTAATTATTTATGGGCAAAAACTTAGATGCACGCCCCATTCCGTCATTTTTCTTATTTTGTGGAAAAATAAATCAGCACACCACAAATGTCTGATGAAACTTTTGAATTTATTGTGCTACAAAATTACCTATCTAACAAGAGTACTAATGGACTCGGGTTTAGATCGAATGATGTGGTTTGGATGATCTCCCCTTGAAATGCTAACAGATTTCATCGAGGCTTTAATTAGTTGGTTTTGCTCCCGTGCCCGTAGTTTATTTAGATCACGTCCGTACTGGAACTTTTAATCTGGGGTGGGTCTCTTAGTCTTCCCTCTGGCCGGTCCTGTTCAAGACAAGTTTTGGTTACCACACCGTCTTGTCCACTTGGACCGTGAGTCTGCATTTTCCACTCTCCCTGACAAACGAGGCAACTTGATTCTTAAAATCTAATTTGGTTGGAAGGTTTTGCTTTAGTTTCGTGATACTTAGTTACTTTGCTCGCTTTTTAGCTGCAACCCGTCAAATGGTCAACTTTCAATTTATTTGGTCTCGTTGTTTGGTATTATATGATAGAACCGATCAAATTATTAGGAACACGGCTACACTGTTGAGCTATTGGATCACCTGTATGGTTGGTTGGTTAACCTATGGTCAGTTAGTTAAGCTGTCATTATTATCATGTATTTAACTGCCCGTGAGGAGAATAGTTCTTTCTTGAATTAGTTCTCTGTTTTCTACTTGATACAGATTGGTATAAACGATGTTGTAAGTATCCGCAGCCAGTTCTATTTTGTTTCCACAAAAATAATGCGTACTGATCCTATTACTTCCAAAAGAGACTACCAAAGATGCAAAGAGAAGTGTTGTTGCTTGTGTTCTAACTAATTATTTGTCTTACATAATAATAGAAATTAATTCAATACTAAAATTTTGTTCCGGACTACCCTTTAACACGGACAAGTGCAAAGGTTATGTCTAGTAGAATGAAGGAAAAACATGTATTTTAGGGAACATCAAATGCTTTCATTTAGAAATGTTCATGGCTGCTAGGCATCTTGTGCCCTCATTTCAGGAGTTTACCAGACCATGAAGAGAATAATGGTATCTGAAAGCAAAGTCCACTCCTTTCCTACAAACCAAGAAAGCGAACAATTATAGAATACTCGACCATTTTCAAGTACCTTCTATGTATTGATTTCAAATAGAGGTCTGTAAATCTAAGCAATCAAATAAAACAACCTTGAGTGAAAAGAAATTTTAGTGCTACATGCGTGTAGTTTTTACCGTAGAAGTGATGATTTAGGTATGATATATGGATAATAAATGTGTATCACAGTATATTCTTTATTAACTTAGGAATTAAGATTCTAATACCAGGGATCAAATACAAAGCTTAACACGCAAGACATTAGAATCTTAAATTTAAAAGTTCAAGGACAAAAAATGAAAATATAGGTAAAATTTGAAGAGCTACAATTGTTTTTAAATTAGTAATGAATAAGCCCATGTCCTTTGGACTTTTCAATCATAAATGCAGTGTCAGAAATTTGGCCGAGCCTCCAAGTAGGTTCTAATTTAGTCCATACACTAAAAGTTTTATGCGTAGATTGCATATTATCTTCTATGGCTTACTATAATGAAATATTTGGTTGTTTTTTTTTTCTTTCCTTTTTTTTCTTTTGCATGATCTGTATTTCAAGAAATGTTCGAAATGTAGGCATGTTACTTTTGAGAATGCAAAAATAGTGTTTGATTAGTTATGTTCTATATATGTTGTACCCACGATTGAGAATTACATTAAATTCACTCGTGTATAATTATTTGTTTCATAATCTCTTATATCATTTATATGTTAACCATATAAACATGCATGAATTTAAATGTAACATCTCTTAATCTTTTGTTATATAAGCATGTTTATGAAAAGTTTAGTTGTTTTTAATATTTATAAATATATGCTTGTGTGGTAAAAATAATGTAAGTTCATCTATTGGAGGCTAAAGTAAATTTAGGGAATGTGGTTAAGAATTTTATTCCTATCTTTCAAACTTAGAAATGTGGTAAGATTTTAGACAGTTACTTGTTGCCATCTGGAGCTTATAGTAGTCAACTATATCAGTTTATGGAAATGGCAAACGAATCCGGGGAAATCAGAAGGTAATTTTTGTACAGTTTGCTAAAGCTTGAAAACCTCTCAAAGGGCCAGCATTTCAGGTCCAGTAGATTGTCATATCCATGGAGATATTTTTTCTTTCGCTGTTTTCTTTATCCTTATTTCTGTGTTAGCCTGTTTCCTTTCAGGTGGGATTACTCCACTTGTTTTGTCAA